GTCTAAGTTGAACCTCGCTCTACAAAATGGTGCCTCAAGCATCTCGAAAGACTTCATTACAAGAGAATTATTTACGATCAAACAGTGTATACATATTTTTGGGACACCCTGTATAGCAATTGTTAGTGAGATCCGAAGACTACCAGAGATTGGGCAATTTAGAGGGCAAAATTCTTAGACAGAAAAGGCGTGCTAGTCTTAAATTCACGAGAAAAAACAAAATGGTAAAAACTAGTGAAAGAACCGCTAAATGAAGAAACGCTGAAACTGATTAGTTTTGGTATCATTAATGCACAATGTGACCTGCAAGCACAAATGAAAGTAAAGAATTCTATAATTGTCTCCCAATACGCTTCCTTGCCTCGTTTACGACATGGACTCCCACTGCCCGGTTGGTGTTACCTTCGCCATCCTGAAATTTGAGCAAAAGGGTCCACAATTAAAAATACGTTGTTATGGAAAAAAAAGGAAAGCAGAGGCTCAGGATCGCAGGTTCAACTTGGAGCAACGCATACATTTGCAGTTGCTATTCTGATCAAAGTTTTAACATCATCGCCTCCTTAACTGGTCAAGATAAGCATTAATCGTTTGAAAAGCTACGGCGTACCTCCCGCGGCCGACAACTCAGTCGTCAAAGCCCTAGTGCTCGAGATCCAGAAGGGATATGGATTCGACCCAACATGGTTCTCTACTTTTATGAGCGAAAAAGCAATGTAACCATCGAAAGGATTTGTTAAAAAAACAGTGATCGTAGGAAGAGCACGTATGACCTTGCCGATCCAAAGTAACTGAAGAAGCGATGAGATTCTGAGAAAGAGGTTCCATAAATTGCAAAGATCGACTACAATACTAAAGGAAGTCACCTGAAAATGACACCTGAGAACGAAGCTGTCAGGTAGAAAGCAAAACAAACAACATATACTAATTTAACAACAACCAGGCCGATATTTGACCGCAGTTTTCAAAGTAGGATGGCAGAAACCAAAACAAACTAGCAAAATCCTCCCCAAAATTAGTGATATGGCAGGTGATAATGTTTCTGAAGTACTAGAATTACGAAGACTAAGCCAAACCGAAACAGAAAAGAACTTCATTCTTTTTTTGGATGGGACCACTGCTTTTTTTTTCAAGCGCATGAAATTGTTCTGCAATTTCGCGTTGCTGTATTTCGCTACGACGTGAAACTGCACACATGTCAGTCGCGTGTGATGTTTGCTGATGGGTTGGGGACTATATGTCTCCGAAAGTGGGAGGTCCCGCCGGACATTTGTAA